CATGTTTTTTGTTTTGTTTTTGCAGTACTGGGAATTGAACCTCACACTGACTGACCTATATCGCTGGTCCTTTTTGGATTTTTTTATTTTGAGACAGGGACTTGCTAAGTCACTAAATTGCTCAGCTTACAATCCTCCAGAGTGCTGAGATTACAGATGTGTGCCACCACAACCAGCTATTACTACTTTGGACAAATTTATCCATTACAAGAATTGAGGAAAAGAAAATTAAAAATTTTTATTTTACCTTCATTTTTCCTTCTTCCTTCCTTTCTGCACATCCAAGTTTCTGACCGATATCAATTTCTTCTCTTTAAAGAATATCTTCTAACATTTTTTACAAGGCAGATCTATTGACACCAAATTCCCCAAGTGTTTGCTTATCTGAGAACGTCTTCATTTCTCCTCTACTTTCAAAGGGTAACTTTGCAGGTCCCGTTCTAAGTGGGTTTCCCTCTCAGCACATGGCTGCCAAGGAGCTGAATATGATTCTTACCTTTGCTCCTCTGTTGGTAAGCTTGTTTTCTCTTCTGGCTTCTGTCGGCAATTTTCATCTCTGACTTCCTGTTGTGTGAATATCACATTCCTAGGAAATGTTCAATTGTTCTTTTAAACATTTCTCCTATTTCTCATTTTTATTCTTATATTCCCACGTATTTTATGTATTTTTATAGATATCTCCACAGTTCTGGGTTTTTTTCTTCCAGTCCTTTTCCTCTAAACATCTCCGTTCTGAAAATTTCTAACAAGATCTTTTCCTTGGCCCAATCCACTCAACTAATAAGCCCATCGAAGGCCTTCCTCCTTTCTGCTATATTGGTTGTGATCGCTGACATTTCTTTTTTATTCTTTCTTACAATTTCAATCTCTCCATTTACATTGGCCATTTGTCCTCTCATGGTCTGCAAAGCCCAACCTCCCTGAAGTATCTGAGTTTAGTTCTGATGTACACTCTGTCTCTTCAGCTGTGTGTTTTTACCTTTTAGGATGCCTTGTGATTTTTTTCCACGCTAACCAGAAATGATGAACTGCACCAAAAATACTGCGATTGTCTCAATCTTTCGGTAAGCCTTTGCAGATATAGAGGCCTGACTTTGATCTGTGATCAATGGGCGAGGCCAGGGGCTGAACTATAAACTAAATCCATTCCTTGTGAAGTTTCTCATCAACTTTTCCAAAATAATTTTAGAAGTTATTGGCAATCATTTCCTAGACTCATTAGTTTATCAGAGGTAATGAAATGGTGATATTACAATGATCTCTTCTTTCTTTGTTAACGGAAATTCTTTATACAGGAGAAAGTTCTACAACAATAATATTATCCTGAGGCACTGGTGTTATAGAAAAGGCCATATAAATTCTCCATTTTTCTTTTTATCTAACTGTTTTCAGAACAATGACTTCCCTAATATTCTACAGCCTTTGTGTTTGTGTGTATAATTCTTAAATTCACATATTTTAAAACATCTCAATTTATTGCAATTATTATCGTCATATAGAACATTTTCCATCTTTCAAAAGAAAGAATCCTGTCAAATTGGCTCCTCAGTCCTTTTGAAGTGAACCTAATATTCTGTAACAACTCTCCTTTTGGTCCAGCAAGACACTTCCAGCTCATCTTGTACATTTCTTGCCACCGCTCCAAGGAGCTTTCATTCCCTTTAATGGGAAATAACGTTTAGAAACTGCGATGTGGGTTCTAGAGGCTCATGACTGCTCTTTACCAGAGCTAGAAAATGTGATTTTTAAAAAAGAAATGTGTCACGCTTTCATAATGACATTTCCCGTTCATTTTTGTAATTCTAATTTATAATGTAGCATATTTCATATCTGCATGATTCCTGTTATTAACAAAATTGTGTATTTTATTTAACCTGGAAAATATGCATAACAGAGTCAGAATAATAGCATTATTAACAATATTAATATTCCTTCTCAATTTATTCTTACCTTAAGGCATTCCCACTAAGAATGCATAGACAAATGACTGTGTTTTAAAAGTACTTAATTCTTCCATGTGGTTAAGACATCAGCGCAGTTAATTTCATTTTATTTTGCTTCCTCTTTAGGTATGTAACTATTTCCATCTTGATTAGTGTGTATTAAACGTTTACATAATTCTGAGATCATATCTAGTTTCTATTCATGTGCTCCCCGTTTCCCTATATCATTCTTATTAATTTCTTGTCAATTCATTTCTAAAATAAAAGCAAGATACATAGTATCCTCCCTTTATGAAATAAACAGCAGCATACTATATGTACTAGCCTGTACCTTATTCTTTTCATCTGACACTATATCCTGAAGATCACTTCCTAAAGCATGCAGATATTTCCCAGCCATGTTGCAACGCCTTCTTCTCCTGGGTGAATGCCCTGTTGCTTATTCAACCTTTCCTGAATAGTTGGGCATATATGCTCTATTTCCAATCTTTAGCGATGCTTTTGTGAGCACGTCTTTTCTGTTTTTTCCACTGTATCTTTATTACTTTATCCGATAGCTTTTGCTATGTTTACCATACCTCAAACTTACTGGCAAAAAGCAATAGTTATTCCTCAAAATTCTGTAGATCAGCCATTTGGGCAGGGACTCAGTCCCATCTCTGCTCCTGTCCCTCACGTGACTGAAACCATCCAGCAAGCCAGCCGGACCTGGATAGTCTGAGGCAGTCAGTCTGGTGTCTGGAGAGTGGTGGGCTGTCAGCCACGGACCTCGAGTAGCCACACATCCTTCAGGAAGCGGGCTAGTGCTACTTCTCACACACTCATCACACTCTCAGGATCCCAAGCACATGGACAGAGAGAAGGCCCAGTGTATGGGCGCATTTCAGTCTTCTGCAGCCACCAAGTGCGCAAGATCCTTTTGATCAAAGTAGGTCACACAGAGAAGCCTTGTGTCAGTGGGGAAGAGGACAACAACCCACAGATAACAAGGAAGAGGTTTCTTTTCAGCCACTTGCAAGCCTGCTAGCAGGGAAAGACAGACCCAAGGGCAGGCTTGTTGGATCATAGACCACACTCAAATGTAACACATGTCTGACATGAGTGAAAGGAAAACAGCCCAGAGCAGAACTGCCTTAGTTGGATGTAACAAGGTGTTCCAGGCGTGTGTGTGTGTGTGTGTGTGTGCGCACACACGCGTGTGCACATGCACTGGGAAAGCACATGCTGCTGCCGTGGCTTAGTCTGTTTCATTTAGGGATATTTCCCTGCTGACCAAAGCAGGGAGGGGTCTTTGCTTAGAGAGCAATTTAGACATTCTGAGTCTGCCAACTGCAAAGACCAGCCTAGAGTAGGACAAAATCCCCAAAAGCCAAGGGCATTTCTGGCCAACTTATACTTTAAGACTATCACAAATTGAGAATTAAAACCTGAAGAGTTAAAACACCTGAAAACACTCAGATTCCAGTGCACACCCATCTGCTCCAGCCCCACAGGCTTCTTCTCATGCCTGCTACAGGCTCCCACCTCTCAGGACTGCTGGCCAGAGGACTGGTGTTGCCCCAGCGAGCAACTTGCCCCTACCCCAAGCGCCAGTCCTAGACCCGCAAGTGCCCCAGCTCAGCTGGTCTTCAATTCGGCAGGTTTTGCCTCAAGAGTTTGGGTTGCCAGGTGTAAATGTTGATGGAGAAAAACAAAAAAGAGCTGCAACTAAGTTGAAGTAAGGGGTGGAATTTTTAAATGCCAAGGTCTTGGAATTACACTGATGAGATGCACTGAGGGGTTGTGTTTGGGGGTTACCCTTTGGCACAGGTAAAATTGGAGTTATAGAATGTAAGCCTAGAGATGATGTTGGCGTATCTGAAATTTTCCCTCTAAAAAATGATTCTTCTAGTATCCCAAGTGATGGCTACTCAGGCCACGTCTCCTGAAGACCTTTGAGAAAATTTTCCAGGGTGGCAACGCATTACATCTTCAGAGGGGCCCGAGTCTCACAGGGTGACTTGGGTACTTGTTAAAACTCACAAATATACACCTAAAATAGTTGTATTTCTTCGTATATTTTACCATAAAAGGGAGAAATACTGAATTTTAGTAATGGTTGAAATTAGTGAAAAATATACTTGATGGACTTTAAATGTATTAAAATGGGTGAATGAATGGATATTTGATAAGCAATTAGTCAGTGGCACAACGGTGGTGCGCATACAGGTGTTCACACTAACACTCATGGTTGCCTGAACATTCTCATAAAATGTTGAGAAAAGCTACACGGTACTTTTGATCAGAAGCAAATTAATCTGTACTGCAGGATGAAGTGTTATAACTTATATCATTAGACACACACACCCCCAAAAAGCCTCGTGGGCCCATAAGTGGGACTTGTCAGAAGTGCCTGAATCACTGGTGTCCGCTGGTTGGTTTAGCTCTGGGTGTGGATGATAGACTTACTGAGGGAAGACCCACTCTGCGATACAGCCAATAGGCTTGTAGCCCAGATAGAAAAGGGAAAGGAAGGTTTGCTGCCTCCTGCCGGCAGTACTGTGAACTGTTTCTCCTCCGCCACGACCTGCCTGGGAGCTAGCCATGAAATGAAACCTCTACAAACTGAATTGAAATAAACCTTTGCTCCTTTAACTTAGGGTTCTCAGCCTTTGTGCCCCAGCCACGAGAAAGTAAGAAACACAAGAAACCTGAAGGATGTGACTAGGAATAGAGAATTCCTTGCAAGTGCCCTCTGCTTTTCTCTCAGCCAGACCTCTCTGGTACAAACCTTGCCCCCTTTTCCTTGGATTTCACAATCAGGTCCTCACCCTCTGGGCAAAGGTGAGTGAAAACACAGCACAGGGTGGTCAGCTCATTGGCAGAGCTGTGTAATGAAGACTCAAACCCACAGCCATCACAGCAAGTGCCTTCCTATGCCAGAGAAAAGTAAAACCTTGCTTGACTGTTTTAAAAGATGTAGTAATTCATATGAACTGCTTAGTACCCAGTTTTCAACCCTAAGATGTTCTAAATCTTTAATTCTAAAATAACAAACTCATGGGAGGGTAAGGGGGAAATGGGATAAAATGTATTTAAAAAATAAAATTACAAACTCTCTAAAATGGCTTGGAGAAATGATCAGTGTTTATCTCCAAGAAAGGGTTTAGCACTCATTGAGCCTTAGATATGTTTGGCGCACATTGGCTTACACAGTCCTCAGAACCCAGTTGGCACACTGCCCTATTAACCCTATTTTACGAGGCTCATGGAACTAGTAAATAACAGATCCAGGACTCAAACCTACATCTCCTCAGCTCAGAATGCTATTTTCGCCAAAGCAGTCTGACATTTGAAATAGCTTATATTCTGCAAAGCTCACATGCTTACAAGAATAACAGCAATCATTTGGCCAAGATTTTATAAAACATTACTGGGTAAAGGAATAAAATGTGTAAGGGCAGCTTCGCAATCTTCGTTTTCACAAAAAAAAAAAAAAGTGTTTATACTTCCACCAGCGATATTGACAAATTTAAGTACAAAACTTGGCAAATTTTCCCATATTTTCTATAACTTCAGGGGTAATTCAGGATTTAATCTGCTTAACTGGGAGAAATTCACTTTTAATGTCACTGAATATTGCTCACTCACAAACTAGATTTAAACTACCCCTTAATGATCTTCCCTATCATGTTTATGCCATCAAAAATTATCCAATGGGGGTAGGGGAGTGGGGATTTAGCTCAGTGGTTTTGATGCCTGCCTTGCAAGTGCAAGGTCCTGGGTTATTTTACTCTCTGGTCAGGTCAGCCTCCTGTGGGGCTATAAATACTTACAACTGAAGACTAGCACCATATGGCAATCAAACCAGGCCTTGCACACTCTGTGGAAAACATATACAGCTTCTTCTCTGTACAGAGGATCTGTACTGCTCATCACGTGCTCAGAAATACCCTGCCTCCAAACCCACTACTATTCCATTTGGCCAGCCTTCCTTCTCACAATAGGGAATTGAGGGACAGCAGAAGTGCTGCAAAGACGTGCTCACTGAGACATGCAACAAAAGCTGATTTAGATTGGATAACCAAAGTTCAGAGTGAAGAATTTATCTTTACCTCTGTACAGGCTCTGCTGAGGCCATGTGACCCTGCACTAGTGACGTGACCTTAGCATTGGTATAATCTAAATAATTCTGTTTGAACCAAACTCAGAATCTGCAATGCAGAGGCTGTACTCAACCTCTTATCTACATCAGCCCTTGCTATCCATTGTGCTTTCAAGCTACAGCTTTTAAAGCACAACTATCCATGTACAACCAAAAGGTTCGCATATTCTAGCTTCACATAGGGAAAAGAAAACATACATATGTCATTCCAAAGCTATCTAAATTGCTGGAAGGGAGATCTCAAAGGCAGGGAACAGAGATCCTTGGGATGTTTCAAGTGCAGCTCTCCCAACTACAAGTTCTCCCAGGACTAACTAGGTCCAAGCAGCAATCGGGGCATCTCATATGAGTGGTTTACAAACTACAGACATTTTATTCAGCATGTATTCGGTGTTACTCAACATTCCACATTTGGACCAAGTAATTATCCTGTCCAGATGTACACTTGGATGAGTAAAGTACATCAAATGTTTTTAGAATTTCCAGTTGGACCGTCACCTACCTTGCAAGAACAAGGACCCAAGTTTGATCCTGGAAACCAAAAGAAAAAAAAAAATCTTTCCAGTTGGAAATGGTAAAAACAGGCTTTGTCTTTTAGTTGAAACAATAGGTATCACATGATTTTGTGGTTTATCAATGGATTCTCAAAGGACCAAGATTCTATTATAGTGCAATGCTTCACCCAAGCCTTGAGTTGGCTGTTCTAGAATCTTGGGGAACCATAATAAAATTATGTCACCCAACTGTAACTTTTCAAAAGGCTTAAATGAAATGTTAATAGCTTAAGTGTTAAAAAGATCTAGTAATTTTGGATGGGAAATGGAGATATGCTAAATAACTCAGCCTCCTTGGAGAGTGAGGAAGGAGGATTACAAGTTGAAGCCCAGCCTGGGGAAATCAGGGAGACCCTGTGGCATGTAGCTCAGTGTAACAGTCCTGGGTTAAATCCCTACCACCCCTCAAAAGAAGTGTAACGGCTTGTCAGTTGGAGTTCTCTCTAGTGCATACCTTAGCCTGTGATCTGCACTCTGAGAACTATCAATAGACTCTCACTCAGAAGCCTGGAGTAATTTGGTTTCAGTATTTGAATCCTAATAATACATGGGCTGGGGATTCAGCTTAGTGGTTCCAATACTTGCCTAGCAAGCACAAGAACCAAAGTTCAATCCCAGTACCAAAAAAAAAAAACCTGATACACATAAACTTTGAGGCACCTAGAGAATTTAAATATACAGTACCTAGAAAGTAAAATGTTCTTCTAGCTTCTCCCTCAGAGTGTAACACCACTAATAACAGCGCTGTTTTCCAAAGGTCACAATTACATCTCCTCCTCAGCATGCCTCAATTGTTAATCATTACTACTTTTGAAACGTGGGGCTGTTTATCACTGCAAGACGTAATAATAGTAATCAGCTGTACCCTACCAACCACAGGATCCTCACCATTGCCAAGGACCTCGGCCTCCAATGTCCTCACACTGCCCACATCAGAGAATGACTAACCAACTTTTCCAGTGGGAATGTCAACTTTCATCCAAGAGAAGAGAAGGAAAATTTGATTAAAGGGAAAAATAGTAATGGGAAGGTATCTCGAGATTAAAACAGGCATTAGGTTGGGAAGAAAGAAATCTAAGTCACGCCTGGCTCAAGACGGCTCGAAGCAAATAGCCATTATGTAAATGGTATCAGAAAGGGGAAGTTATTTTAGAAACTAGGCTGAACTGCTGTTGTTAACTCCCAGCACGTACCTTCTGTGAAAACTTTTAAGGGCTACTGAACATGTCTCTATACTTTCAGTTTTCATATGAAAGTTACAATTTACTAAGCTCACATGTATTTGCTTTCAGAAGCACTTTTCAACCAAGAAAATTCATTTAAAATGGTAGATGACAGAAAGCGGCAAGTATCAGACTGCTCAAATTTAGAACAGAGTTAAGACTAGAGAAAAAGCCAAAGGGGAGCAGGTCCCCTACAGGAAGTCCTGAGTGTTTAAACATCCACGGGAGAGCGCCTTCGAGCCTTCAGTTCACAGTCACCTGGCAAATGGGTCTCATCTCCTGTCCGTGATGCACAGCTCACCCCCCAGACCTGCCCAGACACGACACAGCCTGGCTACGTCAGGCTCTGATGCACTCGGAACTGGGGCCCAATCCTAGCACGGTGCATTTCTACACTAAGTGTTTTTTGTTTCACTCGGTGGTGTATACATTTATTTCAATGTCGCCAGCTGAAAGCGCCAGGGAGGAGGAAGGTGGAAACTCTTCCTCTTAACTTCTTGATGAGTGCTGTCCAAGCAGGCTGGTAAGGCAAATACTACGAACTGTAATTCCCTTGGCCTTGGTTTTGGAGACTTCCCTTAAGAAAAGAGAAACTTGTTAATAATAAAACCACAGAACAAGGTTAAATTATCATGGCAAGCGTCGATCACAAAAGCATGAGTTAATCTCAGTATGTTAAATGATGATGACCCCTCCACAAGTTTTTCTCCTGCTCTCAAGCGGATTAGACATGTGACTGCTTATTATCTACCAGAAATCACTGAGTACTTACTCAAGTCCGACACAGCTCCAGAAAGCAGCTCCTTACTTCTTCATTGGGCAGAACCTAAGGCCGAACAGCACCAAGCCTAAACCATCAGGCGTCAACTTACTATGAGGAGGAGAAAAGATCAGAAATGCACGTACGGCAATCCATGCCTGGCAGCGTTCTAATAGCGCCCGACTGCAGAATTCTTCCACAGCCACCTTCACCACTGTGTTCTCCCACAAATGACCTAAAGATGTCGTTGCTCCTACCTCTAGACTTTAAAAATTAGATACTAATTTTTAGTTTCTTATCCAAAACACATTCATCTATTCTGGTCCCCAGATGTCTTGTGAGATATTCTGAAATTTAACAAAACCAAATTTACTATAATCACTAATATATGAAATAAATGGAATTGCTTTCCCTTAACATAAAGATCTCAGAACTCCCCCAAGGTTGCTTCCCCTGAACACTCCTCACAGAGCCTCACATAGTTATGTATCAAAGTATCTGCAAGATACACTGAGTTAGACCCCAAAAGCCTGGCATATGTTCATATTCAAATGCTATGGAAATTCACACGAGATCCATTTAAAACTCGCAGACAAGTGACAAACGCAGGGCAGGGCTAAGTCACTGCCAGTTGAAGTTGTCATAACAACCACAGCTAAGATGTACTGGGCTCTCCACTTTAAGGCACTGAAAGAGCAAAACTTAGGGATAGCTGTTAACATGAGCTTAAGTTTTATTCAAGAGATATTTTAAAAGAGGTGAATTCTAACAAAGTTTACGAGTTACCCACCCTACAGTAAAGAGAAGTGGGTACCACTTATGACACACAAATTCCAACTTAACATTTCTGAATAAAGCTATGATTTGAGAGTCATTTAACTTTTGCTAATAAGGCTATCGAATTGTGTTCCGAAACTGACCACACACAGGTATCCCTCTCAAATAAAGGAGGTGCCGAGGATTTTCACTTCAGGCTGAGTACCTCTGAGTACTTCGGGTTTGTAACTTGAGACTGAGTATTAATTACTACATGAATTCAATTTGAATCACCTTCACTATGTTTATCTACCACAGTTATTTTTTAGAATTAGGGCAATGTTTTGTGACTTTATGATGTTTTCAAATTATACAATTATATATGGCAGTCTCAAAAATATTCAAGGTCTGTTTGTAATTTCTCTTCAATGTAATCTACGTTAATGAATATTAAAGCAATTGCAGCTTTCTCTAAAGATTCTGTTACTGTACAGATCACATTCTATTTCATAATTCTGATAGAGACTGTCTCCTGGCCTGGTAATAACACAAATACGTTTTCTAGTAATAAACAAGAATTTAGGATGACTCGGTCCTGGGAAAATCTTAATGGCAGTCACTCACTAGTCAGTCGCTCCTTCAGTCAAAAACACTCAGAAACTGCTGCCACCCTTGACCGAGTTTCTGGTCTTTAGTTTTTGTTTCTATTTTTGCTGGTTATTGCTTTAGTTGGCAACATCTGGATCTAAAACATAAGAACATCTCCATGAAGTCTAATGTCAAATATTACAAAATTTACACAGAAGACAGACTCATAGAGGCCATAAAGCTGATGTCTTCAGTAACTCACCCTTGAAATGGGTGCAGGATTTTCAGAGAGGATATTCTGTAACATTTTACTCAAAAAATAAATGCCCCTACTTTTCAGAGTGTTCCCTTTCTTCACGAGGAGACCGAGCAGCTTAACATTTTTGCTATAAAAACCAACCACTCTCGAACAAAAATGTAAAAAGGAAACCAATGAAGAACATATTTTGTTTCACAGTTAACAATAAATAAAAGTGCAATAAGTGTTCAAGTAGGGCACGTAGTTTAAAAACTACATGTGACTATTTGGCGTAGGTCATCTCTTAAAGGCTCTTCGAGGGTCCCTGCTACTACTTATTGTGGTCATGACTGTTTGATTATCAGCTGCTGCTGGCAGTTGTGGACTGACAGGTCCTCGGCCATTGCTTCTACCAGCACAGGACACCTGGTATCTCCTTGATTCAGGACCAGTTTGAACACCATTGCCTAAGAGAGAATACAAAACATGGGTCATTGTTGTAGAAGTGGTTTACAGTAGGCTACAAAAGTACACGACTAGAAGTCCCAACATATGTTATAATACTTACGACTATCAGGAAAAAGACACATTTTTATATTGAAAAGGACAACCAGAGCCAGGGATTTAGCTCAGTGGTTCCACCACCTGCCTCACAAGCACAAGGACCAGATCCCCAGCACCAAAAAAAAGAACATCCAATGTACACTCTAGGTCTTTACAAGTGTATTGCTATTACAAATACAGTCACTTAATGCTGTATTGATAGTGGGGAGGAAAAAACCCAAATCAGGCAACAAAACTGGAGATAAAGTAGGAAAAAAACATAGATACACATACTGCCTGTCAAGAGCTTTAAAAAAAGGAAAAAAGTATTTAGCTACTGTCATTAGGCTTGGACATGATCACTGTTTCCAAACAGACAATGTACACCTCATTCTTTTTAGGCAGACAGCAGTTACCCAGTTTCCCATAATGTGGTATCAGCTGTGCCAAAACGTGCTATCCAGCCATGTAAAATGCTGGCCACCCTACTGAGCACTAGCCAGAATCTTCTCAGTTATTCAGGAAAGGCTCAAAAGACCTTTCACAGGGAACAAGGACCATGAGCAAGACATCTGATGGAAAAAAGGCTAATCTTTCAAAGCCATGCAGCTTCAGGAATTAATTTACTATTACTCTCCAGGTGTATCATTCTGAAGACAGGGCACCAAAATAACTTGTATATCTACTGTAAATAAGCACGAATTCACAGAAGTTTTATAAAGAGAAAAAAACAGTACTTCATCTCTTCACAGGTACCACCCAAGGTCAGTCTTTGTTATTAGGTGCCATTCACTGATGAATTCAGAGTAACCGGTCCAAACGCTAAACACAGAATGCGTTCACTACCAATCAGCATGCAAGTGTACCTGCCTTCTACAATCAGTTCACCCGAAGACTTGGCTTTATTCGTCGTTCACCTTCAGCACTGCCTTATGCCTACAATCACTATTTTTCCTGAGTCTAGTTTTTTAAGATGGGGTCTTGCTGTATTGCTCAGGCTGGTCTCAAGCTCAGTGGCTTAAGTGACCCTCCCACCTGTTTCAAGCAGCTGGGACTACAGGCATGCACAACACCTGCCTTTCTCTAGATCTTTCATAACTATAGTTTCTACACTTCAATTTCACAAATATGCAAAAATAAAAATCTTACCCACTGGTCCAAAGATACCTGTACCAGTATTACTACTGTTCACAGAATTCGTCTTCTGTTCACTGTGGGCCTAAAAAAAAAGTTTTAAGTTCACCAGATGAAGTTTTTTTACTATTATAAAATTTATATTATTATAAAATTATTTTTTTAACATGAAAGGCTTTTAAATTTTGCTTTTAACAAATTTTTTGTAAAGATCTGTCCAAGTCCATCCAACTGCCGAGAGAGCTGAGGATGTCTGCCAAGCCGTTCACAGCTTATGAGACCCTCAATTTCCTGTGTGACGCAGTGCTGTGTGTCACACAAACTGTAACTGGAGCATTATACACTCTCCAGACTCACAAACAGGTGTAATAAAGACTCTAAGTGCCTTCCTTACACTGCAGACATAACAGGGTTAACCTAATCAAAGAATCATAATATAAAGTCAAATTAGCCCAATCCAAGAAATATACTGCACATGTGGATTAGTTACCCCTTTGTTTGGCTGTCCTCGATAATCTGGGTTGGGCTCACTGAAATTTGGCACTTCTGAATAAACCATACAGAATCTGCAAGAAAATAAAGGACAAGTTAAATGACATCTGAAATGAATCAGCCTTTCTATATATAGCACCCCTGCCTTACGGGAATAATTTAGGTATCAAGTAAATTAGCACCTGCTAACTAATGTTATCATTTACAACTCACATTTCCTAAATGATTACATCCATAAAAACTGCCAATATTTGACTGCAACACATAAAATGCTCTATTTTGTACTTAAATTCTTTTTTTAGAAGTGCAAAATATAAATCATGTCAAAGATCAAGAACAGAGCAGCACATCTTTGTCTGGTTTTCCACACAGGCTGACGCTAGTGAACCGCGCTTGGGTTCCAGACGGGCGTCTCCAGCAGTGTGATGGACGTACACTGACCACTCACACGCTCATCCCGTCCCTCTGCACCAATCACTGTGAATCTGCAAAGATAATCATCCGAGGTTAACAGAGGGTTCCGGTGACAAAGGCAGACCAGTGGCTAGCAAGCTACCAGCTTATCCTGGAGCTTCTTACAAAAGCTCCTGACAGGATGTGCACCAGGTTTACAGGTCAGCGTTTTCTTAGGTCCTCACCCCACTAATTAATTAGAAACTAGAAGCAGTTTTGGGAAATCCTTAACTGACCCTGACAAAGAGCAGTCAGGGATCAAGGGACCTCCATTGCTGTAAACCCCGCAGTACACAAGAAGGTCGGGAAGGCTTAGTAATACCAACCTAACACCTTTCAGCATACAACTCTAACAACAGTACTCTGAAAAAGCCCCATTTTCCTTCAAATGAAAAACAGTGTTAGATCAGTTTCTGATCTTTAAAAGCTTGTGAAATTATTATTGAAAACATTTTCTAAAGAACCTTACTCCGTTAGTGTGAGTTTCTCTCCCCACCACCCTGGTGCCATCTGTAGTTTCTCTCTCTAAACATCCTCCGGCTTGATGGGCATTCGCCAATGGTCTGGCTCACTGCCGATACCAAACTTTACGAGTGCCACCCAAAAGTCTAGGCTATATGGAGGCAGTTACCTTTACACCCCTAGAGAGGATGGTTCCTCCAGGCCAGGGTGGCGATCTTAGCAGGGTAGCAGTGTATGGAAGCTCGCATTGCGGCTGCCTGCACCGTACCTAGACTGTGAATAAATAGAGGACTTCAGTTTTCATTGCCTAAAGTCCTCTTCACAGAGTACAAATTCACCCATGCACCGAGAAAAAGGAAATTTGACTCTATGGCCCGAAACTTACATCTGATTTCTAGTCTGGTGAGCCACTAAAAAAAAAGAATTTACTCAAATGACACCTCAAAGATGTATATTCCTAAAGCCTACAGAAATGGTCCCACCAGGCTAGTGTCAACTGCTGCTCCTTACTCTTTGCCAGGAAAAAATGCCATTCTAAACCACAGGAAATGGTACTCCTAGCTGCTGAACAGCTTAGAGAACAACGCTGTTGACCACAGTTTATCTATCAAAAAGGCCAAGGAAGTGGTTTATAGCTTGTACCTACCAATATCTGAAGACGTTAAGTGTAACTTACTCCCTTATGTGGAGTGCATTTTAATACTTACTCCCCAATTTTCTGAAGTTCACCACCCCTTCCAGTATAAAGTGTCAGGCATCCTTTCCACATGGACGCGTACCTAGAGAAAAGAGACAGAGTCAGTTTCCTGGAGATGAGTTGATTTCCATGCTGTCGTTTTTTGAGCTGGAGTCAAGCCGTTTGTTTCACACAGTAAATCAAATACTTGATGAACTTAACTACTAAGGCCAAATCATGACATCACTGTCTAAATTATAACCCTAAAAAATAAGCCCTTTTGTAAAGCAAGAATTGTTATATGCAGGTGATGCTATCTTCAATTAACAAAAGAACAGCTTTTAATGGCAGGAATTTAAGAAGTTATTATTGTCTTTCAGCCATAAGATATATAAAATTGGCACCTTAGTATTTACTTTTACACTGACAGGGCCTAGAAAGGTACCAATGTAACAGTTTTCTTTCTTCTTCTATAAGGCACAGGTTTTCCACATAACTGAAAATTTGGCAGAATTTAATCAAACTACTAAAAAAAAAAAACAAAGCTGGAGCCACAAACCTTTCGCCCACCTGCAATTCCAACTTTGCAACATTTAATACCAACCAGGCTGAACAACTGTTTACTCTGAAAGTCAATGTTCTAAAATCAGTCCAAGGTTTGGTTTTCAATGGCTTTTCTGTAACTACCATGGTAACTTGATGCCTTTTAAAATGACACAGCTAAATAACAACCAAATATAGCACTGGCTTGTCTTCCAATATAGGTTAACAAAAACTCACTAGTTTACATTTTACAGTTCTCATTTTAGTAAGAGTTATTAAAGACTCCACTCATCTCAAGTTATACAAATAATTACTTAGGAAGCAAGGGCATTAACACTTCACCTTACTATAGTAAACATTAATGCATATTTGGAGAAAAAAACACTTAAGTAATTATAACTAAAATATTTAACTTGCACTTATTTAAGAAATGAAAACACTGCAACCAGTTTTGCAGGGGCTACAAACATGCCAATATCTCAAATTAGCCATCCTTTAAAATGTTAGATATGCCTGCTTTCAAAGGCCACTTTTCTGCAGCTGGGTGTGGTGGTGCACGCCTGTAATCCCAGCACTTGGGAGGCTGAGACAGAAGGAGGATCACTGTGAGTTCGAGACCAGCCTGGGCTACATAGTGAGTTCCAGGTCAGTCTCAATACATAGTGAGACCCTGTCTCAAAAAAACACCAAAAAGACCAAAAGCCAGAATTTAAGGGTCTAACAACAGGCCACACGCCAAGCAGTGTGTTATCTTACATAAGGTACATTTATTCCCATCATACAGGAGTGGTTACTGAAGCAGGGAGGTAATTTATTTCCCAAAGCTACGATGAAGGAGTAAACACAGCTTCCTCAGTTCTGAATTGTTTCAAATTGTGATCCTCAGTAACTGTGCTCCTTAAATATTATACCTACAAAGTTTAGTTTTTTGACAAATTTTTTAATGGGAACACTACAGATTATGAACTATTTTTAACGAGATGCTGTTTTCAGTATTAAAATACTTTTAATCACTAGATCACTGGATAAAAGATATTCTGGGAGCAAGAAAACTTCAATTATACTAATCCTCAGTACATCCTCCCATGTAGAAATTCTCTTTTGTGTAAGTTAAACATGTGGAAGTTTAAAAGACATAATTACTGTCATAATGAGTCAGAGTCAGTGTATGAAAATAAAATGTCGAAGTCCTGACTGTCATTTCCTGCTTTGCTGATTCTCTACCTCACTTCCTGCATGTTGGAAGGCCTGTAAGACAGCATCAACTAGCTCTAAGTTCCTACACACAGGGCTGGCAGTGCTGCTGATTCTCAGGCCAACCCCAACCTCCACCTACTCTTCCCAAAGTTATGATGGATACATTATGACAATGCTGTTGATCACAAAGCTTCCAGATTTTTTTTTTTTTTTTTTTTTTTTTTGTACCGGGGTCTAACTCTGGTTCTTCCACTTGCAAAGCAGGAGGCCGGCACCACTGAGCTAAATCCCCAGCCCTCCACATCTATTTTATCTTCCTACAGTTCGGTAAATTTTTTAAAGAAGTCTAACAAACAAAAGTGCTAAGCTATTTTGTAAAGCCATCAATCTGCCAAATAAATCTTCTGCATGGAGGTGCCACTGATGTTGTTCTGGTCAAACATTTTCTGCATGTCATTTAGTTTTCATACAACAGAAAACAGAAAATCGTATTTAAGAATGTACCTTCCAGCCTGGCGCAGTAGCACACACCTGTAATACCAGCACTTGGGAGGTTGAGTCAGGAGAATTGCCAGGAGTCCGAGGCCTGCCTGGGCTACACGGTCTTAACTTTTTCTGAGTACATAGAAAATGCTAAATTTTCAAGTTTTCATTTACATCCGCATCATCTAACTAATGCCAGCACAAGTAAAATACTGGCAGGCTCTCAAGTCATTAAAAAGGGAGGAAATGGAAAAGAAATGAATATCCTGAATTAAATGCTTATTGAAAGAGAGGAATTTTGGACTTTATCAATATACTAAAAAAGACTCCGTTCCCAGAACAGTATTTAAAAATACAACTAATCTGTCAGTTGTGGGGAAGAGGGTGGATCTGGTGCCTGAAAACAAGAGTTTGTCCCGAAGCGGTGTAGCACCCAATACTGTCAAAGGGACTCAGAAGTCCGAACTTGAGAACTTGGGGGTCCCAGGGAGTTCCTGGGAACTTCGGAGCTTGGCGCTGAGGCGGGCAGGAGGCCGGTGGAGCGGGCGCTGCGCTCCCGCACCCCTCCCTGTGTGTGCACCTACCCTCTGGTCAACCGAATAATATCCCCCGGCTGGATAAGACCTCCGATCTCATCCCACACAGAAATAGTGATGCTGCCCGTTTTATCTGCCACTTTGCACGATCTCACTTCATGGCCGTCTTTGGTTTTGGTCACGCGTCCTGCGGAGAGTGAGAAACCGAGAGGAAGGCTGTGTTAGAGGAGGGCGTCCAGATGGGCGCCCCAGCTCCGGCAGCTGGAAGGTGGGACCGGCTGGGCCGCGTGGGGGGGCTGCGGACCCCACTTACCTATCTCCAGCACAATAAAGACGACATTTAAGTTTTTCTGTCCGGGCTTAATGTCTTTTTGGTGGTGTGGCTGATGGTGGTGGGGCTACTCTTGATTAGGGGGTGAAGAAGGTCTCTTTGAGGTGATTTTTGGGTTATGTTTTAAATTTACATGTTTATTTTTAATAAGTGATGTGAGTAGTTTCACATGGTTCGTAATCCAAGAGGTGCATAAAAACACACAGTAGCCAAAAAGTGAAAACAACCTCAGTGTCTACACACAATAACCGGGTAAGAAAAATGTGGTAAATCAGGAATCTTAAGGACTGGGGATGTAGCTCAGTGGCACCGCACCTGCCTGGCAAGCACAAGGTCCTGAGTTCAATTCCCAGTACCAGAGGGGGAAAAGAAAAAACAGAACTCTTAAATGTCCTCTGACTCTACAAAGGAATGGACTGTTGTTGACATGGTTACAAGGTCTGATGAGCCTGGAAGACATTGAAGGAAGCCAGAAACAAAGGTTTCTGAGATTGCATTAACAGCCAGAATACATAAATGGATAGAGAGAAACCCCCCGGGCTGTCGCGGGCCCCGCCCCCCTCAACTGTCCAATCCACGATCGGCTGGGCCCGCGTGACGTCATCCTGCCCCGCCCCGCCCTGCGCGACAGGTATGTGCGGTTCCGGGAGACCGGCTTCCTTCCTCGGCTCTGAGGCGCTCCCCACCCTGGCTTTTAGCCCGCTGTCCCGAGGATCGGTGGAGTTTGGGACTCAGTAAAAGTGAGCCGTAGGGTAGGAACAGGGCAACGCTTGGGTGGTCGGGATCGCAGGAAAACAGGCTGGGATGGTGAACGTGTCCGGGGCTGCTGGACTGGAATTTTCTTTCCTGGCCGGAAGGGAACTTGGAAACCAGTTCAGCTTCCACATTTTAGGCATTTTAAATTGGGTTCCAGAGGAAGGAAGTCGTTCACTAGTGACCGAACAGCTCCCTGTAAACAGGCAGGACCTCAGCACCGATCAACCACTTTTCACTGGGTTGTACCGAGCAGGTGGACAGGAACTTAGTTCACTTCCCTTTGCCGACGACGTCTCAGTTTGCCTTAGCTCGTCCCAGCGTGAGTTTTCTCTGAATTTGAGCCTGTTTATATACAACCAAAAAAGTATACAACAGCAAAGAGAAATACTGCAATACTGGAGGAAAAAAGGACGTGTACTTCGAGACAACAAACCTGGGCTTGAACCATTACAACTGGTTAACCTTCCTATGATTTAAATCACCTGGAAAGTAAAACCAGGGTCTCTGCAGTGTAGAAGATGAAACTGGACCACGGTTGTCCCACTAATGCCTAGCAAATAGGTAGAGGCTTAATATTTCACCCTTACCGGTTTTCTATTTTAAAAGAAATAATATCTGAAACTGTGATTATTGAATCTGCTCATCAAGTCTGTATGATGAGTACTAATTTTAATCTCCATTTTATGGATGAGGAAATTCACCAGAGGCTTCATAGCTGGAGCGAGGCCAACTAAATTTTTGAATCTAGGCAATCTTTACCCCAAGGTAAGTAATTTTTAGACTTAAACTGCAGTGGTGGAATTTTTAAGAGTCGGAAATAGATTGAAGAAATAAAGTAGCAGCAGGATAATTGTAAGGCTTTGAAGAATCCTCTAGTTAAAAGTCTGGTAGAAAAACGTACGCAAATCATCTCCTTTCGAAATATTTTTAGACAAACCACCACTTCTAAATATCTGCAAACAAGCAGCATAAATGTACTGTTGCCCTAGAAAATAGTTTCTAAAACAATCACGACATAAGACCAAGACATTCCTAAGGAAGCAGAGGTTTTAATTTCAGAGACTAGTCCTGAGTGCAAAAACAATGATGTAACACAGCAAAGTGGTGTAAAGTAATAATACGAGCTTGATTTCAACCTCAGATGAAAACACAACATCTGATTAGGGGCCAGACTCGGGGCTCCCATCTCCCAGATAAGAACCTTGGATTCTCCTGAGGTTATCTGACAGTCATTTCCATTGGATTGTCCTCAAAAACCTCATAGAAGCAATACTTAAATGAGATCATAGAAGCAATACTTAGATCTTTTTAAAGGTTTGATGAGCTTTTTAAAAGATAACCAATTAAGGATGTTGAACAGACTGGCCAAATATGAGCCAAAAAAAAAAAATGTAGCCCCTGTAAATTCTCATTTTCTCCAGAAAGAGGGTGAGGTAGTGCTGCTTAGAACGGTTACACTGATATTTTATAAAGAGGAACCAGAAGTTTCTGCAAGAGCGGAAGGGCGTGCCCAGCCCTACCCAATCCACCCTCCCCCTAAACCCAGCTGAACTTCTACTTCCTTCCCTACCAGCTCAGCAGAAAGAAAATGGCAGCCACGTGGTTTCTCTTCAACAGAACTAAAGGCAGCCTTGAAAAACAAGACAGTGTGGGCGGTAGAGGAGCTCTTCAGCTCGGGTTAGGTGGTTTCACCTACTCCCAAATCACTCCTTAAAGGTAGTGGCTAATAAAAACAGAAGGGGGCACGGCTGGGAATTTGGCTCAGTGGTTCTGAGTTCCATCCCAGGTACCACAAAAAAAAAAAAAGCCGGGCATGGTGGCGCACGCCTGTAAACCCAGCACTCGGGAGGCTGAGGCAGGAGGATCGCTGTGAGTTCGAGGCCAGCCTGGGCTACATAGTGAGTTTCAGGTCAGTCTCAATTACATAGTGAGATCCTATCTCAAAAAACCAAACAAAAAGAAAAAGAAGGGGGTATCCAGGAGAACTACTGCTATGCACATATCTTCCCTAATAGTAATCTGTCTTTCAAGAGGTAAGTCCCGCACAGCCCACCCGGTGAGGGCGTAATGATTACATCACTGACTTGTCAGCATATGTGTAAGATCACTTCATAGTCTTCTAAAGCTTTGGGAGTCTACTTCTTACAGCCAAAACATAAACTTGTTGTAAGACTCTTTATGTATGGAATCTCAACACTACAACCCCAACAACGGGGTTGTGTAGTGAGAGCCAATCCTGTACTATAGCAGGACATCTGCCGGGATCGTGTACAGTGTAAACCTCGTCCAGCACCCGGATCCCATGCTCACTCCCAGGTTTAAAGGTTTCTCGCATTACCAAGTATATTTTCACTCTGTTTGCACTGTCCATCTATTTAAAATTGTTATTCCAATAAAACAGTTTGCCAGGTAATGTTTTTGATACCAGAAGGATTGTCTGGTAAAATTTAACGATAAAAAATTAATAACCACAGTGTTGTCACATTACAAAGAATCCACTTTATAACATAATGGGCAAGGTTAAAAAAAAATCTTAATCTCTTTAAAAAGATTTAACTGAGCTGGACCTAGTGGTGCACACCTGTAATCTCAGCACTAGGGAGGCTGAAGCAGGAGAATTGCCAAAGTTCAGGGTCAGCCTGGGCTACATAGTGAGTTCGAGGCCAGCCTGAACTACATAGCAAAACCCTGTCAAAAAAAAGAGAAATTTTTTAAATTACAAAAGAAGGGGGATTTAACCAAAAGCAGCAATAGCCATACAAATTGTGTTTACAAAGCATTCAAAAATCCAATTAAGCATTTAGATAATCAAAGAAAGTCACTTTTAGGACAAATAACTTGCTTTAAAGAAGAAGTTATTGTATGTATCAGTAGGAGAGAAAATAAGTTTTCTGTTAATGACTTTCTTTTGCTATATGCCAGGCATTTTACACTTACAAGCACTTCGTACTTAATAAAGTATGTGAAGTGATTGTTCTTACTTTGTAGTAAGTTATAGAGCTGGGATTTAAAACAGACATAAATTTAACTTTTTCTTAGATTATCAAAATAGGTAACTGGAGCTGGACGTGGTAGCACACGCCTGTGATCGCAGCACTCAGGAGGCTGAGGCAGGAAGATCGCTGTGAGTTCGAGACCAGCCTGGGCCACAAAGTGAGTTCCAGGTCAGTCTCAACTACATAGTAAGACTCTGTCTCAAAAAAAATAAATAAATAAATAAATAAATAAAAGCTTACTATCCTTTTCTACTTTAAAAACTCTAGTTCCATGCTATCGTTCACTTCCAGTTTACTGCTTCCAGTTTACTGATTTCTCTGCCTACTATTAATATGTGCCATGTCTTAATTATTGTTTATTTATTTCTATTTATAATTCTTCAGCATTTCATAAGGTCTATACCAGCCTCCATCCCACCTTATATAAACCTTCTTCAACCATCTACTTTATTTTACCGGAATCTTTTTTCCCCCCTGAGACAAGGGTCTCTCAGAAGACGGAAAAGGGAAGTGAGGCAGGTAGGTTGGAAAGTCCTGATGGTGGGCCATGCCCGTTGCCTGCACAGCCAAACCATGAAGGGCAGGGTTCCTGTTCTGTTGGGCAAAAACCTGAGGAACCAGACAAGAGCAGTGAGAGGTAACTGGCTTCTCCTTTTAGGGGAACTCCACCTTCAAGGAGAATATTACAGAAATGTCTCTGGTGACTTAGCAGCTTAGCTACCCCATGTAGGTGGGATGAATAGAGGAAGTGGTGTGGAAACTTGGAAGGGGACATTGGAAAGCAAACATTGTGAAAATGAGAAAAAGGTGGATCCTATTCATTAGGGTAAAGTTGTAGCAGCCCAGAGAAACGACATCAAAGAGCAAACCTCTTCATGCAGAGGCTTGAAGAAGGAAGCTCCTTTCTTCCTGGTGCAGTCCCAAGGTGAGCAGTACAGGTTCTTGGATCCTCTATGCCTTGCAGTCACTCAAGGACCCAGATTGAATCCATTTTCCACTTTGGCCTTCTCTAAGGCGACCCCATGGGCAAAGTTGGGTCATCCACATGCAGTGCTCCGACCCCTAGAAGGAGAGGGACTCTGAGGCAAGTGACTTAGCTTTTAA